TCCCAGACCAGCCGAGAGACAAAGTCTGTCTATTGTGTCCTGGGCGGAGTCTCCTTCCACTCGGACATGTCCAGGAAACCTCCCTAAGGAGGTGTCCAGGAGGCAACTTTACCAGATGAACCACCTCAACTGGCTCCTCGGTGTGGAGGAGCAGCGGCTCTACTCTGAGTCTCTCCTGGAGAACTGAACTTCTCACCCTGTCTCTAAGAGAGGTCCAGCTATCCTGCAGAGAAAACTCATTCAGACCGCTTGTGTCTGCGATCTTTTTATTTTGATCGGTACCCAAAGTTCGTGCCCAAAGGTGAGGGTAGGAACGTAGACTGACCTGCGAACAGAGAGCTTCAGCTTACAGCTCAGCTCCCTCTTCACCACGACAGACAGGTACAGGGTCCAGAACACTGCAGAAGCTGCACCAATCCATCTATCAATCTCACGCTCCATTCTTACCTCACTTGTGAACAAAACCCCAAGATATTTGAACTCCGGCAGAACCTCACCCCAAACTAGAGAGAGCAGTCCACACTTTTCTGACTGAGGGCCTCAGATTTGGAGGTGAGATCCTCATCCCTGCTGTGAACTGCTCCAGTGAAAGCTGAAGATCACGGCGAGATGACGCCAACTAGGGCTGCAACAACGAATCGATAATAATCGATAATAATAATAAAATCGATAAAAATTGATTATTAAAAGCGTTGGCAACGTGTTTCATTATCGATTTGTTGTGTCGCGCAATTTATGTGTCCTTCGCCGTGTCGCGGAGCCGTTTACATTACCCGCAGAGCTTTGTCAATGCTGGCTGACCTAAATAAAGTTTAGGAAGAAAAAAAACTCTACCTGTAAAGATCCGCCCTCTCTGAGACCCTCGAGTGAAAAGAGACGTTGAACTTTAAAGCAGTTTTTAAATCATGTTGTTAGTAGATCTTAAGATATGATAAAAAGTATATGACACATTTAATTTTTTTGAAAGACCGTCTGTTTGATTGGAGCTGCGTCACGAGGAGGAAACCTCCTCCAAAAGTATAAAAACCCTCCAGTTTTTTCTGACTGAGGCTCAACGTTATTTGTTGAGCAGGAAAAATGTTCCGGACGAAGGAAAAAAAAAGACCAGATTGAGCAGCCGGTCTGCAGGGAATGGGGAGGAGGGAGAAGAGAGGAGGAAGGGGCTGCTTCAGAACCGATTACTGGGTCAGAACAATGTTTTAGTTAAACAGAACCAACAATAATGAAGCAAAAAGTAAAAAATTAGAGAAAAATTATAAATATTAAATGTAAATAATTCCTAATTACAATAAATTAATAATAGTTTTACATCTAAAAATCATATTTTATTATTTTAATCTATTTTCCTCATTCAGTAACCTATTCAATTTCTGTTATGTTTCATGTAGGAGAAATACACATTTTTTCAGTCAGTATTTAATACAGCTGGCAAAATAAATAGTTAAAATATTTATGATGTGCTTCTGTTTATTAATTCAGGAGATTATAAAAAAAAATCCTTCATGTTATGAAAAGACCCTCGAGTCAAGAGAAAACTCCAGTTTTTAAGAAAATGGCTGCTCATTAATTAGTTGATAGTCAATCTATAAGATAAATCAACTTCAGATTAATTAATTAATCAATAACTTGCATCCTTAATTTATACAGGAATGAAATTAATTTATATCTACTCATATTTATGTAATTAAGTGTTTTAATGATTTGGCCGATTAATCGAAAAAATAATCGACAGATTATTCGATTATTAAAATAATTGTAAGTTGCAGCCCTAACGCCAACAGAACCACATCATCTGCAAATAGCAGAGATTTCTCCAGTCAGTCCACTCCGTGCTCCTCTCCTCTTCAAATATGACGAACATTAGAAAACAAGTTCTGTAATTTATTTATCTATCAACACAATTTAAAATTTGAAGTATAGCCTGAAGTCTGTAATTCTGACACACTTTGGAACAGATTTTTACAAAGAGCAAATCTTTCCCACTAAATTGGTCTTTTTACGAGGACATGAGGGTGTCCAGGGCATTAATTGTCAAATTAATCGTTATGGGCTAAATACCACAATTAATTGTGATTTATTTTTTGTCAATATTGCCCAACCCTAGTCTGGACCTCCATGATCAAGTTGCTGCCCCCAAGACCTAACTCTGGGATGGATGGATGCAGTGGTGGGCAACGCTAATTTAAATTTTAGTTCCACAATTTCTAAAGCGCTAGTCAGTTTATTTAGATCCGCAAGTTCAAAAGTACATATGCTCAATAAAACTTAGCGGAAGCTAATATAAAGCACAACATAATCGCCGTTTACCAGAAATCATTCAGATAAGAGAAAAGTCAGCGCTTTTAAGGAGTTTTTCCTCTCCACCGTTTGCTCAGGATTGGAGAGTGTGATGAAGTGATTCTACGAAGACTGCTGGTTCCTTCTTTAGATTGTTATTTTTTATGTACAGTGCTTTATAAATAAACTGAACTTGAATTGAATTGAAATTACTACCAACTAGTGGTAAGATCATTTTCTTTAACAGATTGGCACATATCGYCGCAGAATGGGGAGGTGATTCTTAGAAACAGACTTTTAAATCATAGTTGTAAAACAAAAAATAGTTGTGGATTGCCAGTTCTGCTGCTTTTTGGTCATTTTCTTATGTTTATGGCAGAGCTTCTGTAAGAAAACATGCACATATTAATAATTTTAAACTGTTTATTATAAAACTGAAGAAATGCATTCTGGGTAGGGTACAGGACACAGAACAGGAACTCTGTTCTTTTCAAAATAAGAGTGTGAACTTAAACTGTTCCGTGCTTCATTCTTTACTATTGTTTATTTATTTAATATTTATTGCCGCGGTGTTCCTCAGGGAGGAGGCAGGACAATATGCACAGCTGAGTGTGGTTCTGCAGATCAGAACTGCAGTTAGACTGTCAATCAGCGAAGAAATTGTTTGCTTCCTGACACGCAAAGAATTGTGGGAGTGAAAACCGTCACCGAGAAGAGTCAGAAGTCAGAGTATAAAGCTATGCGATGCTGACTGACGGGTCTGTTTCCGCACAGTGTGTTAAGTAGAGTGGCTTTCCTTTCCAGTGTTCAAGAAAATGATGATGATGAAGATTTAATGAATTATGTGGCTACAGAAAGTAGTGAGACTAGATGGCTTTTTGGCTTTACTTTTGATGAAATTGATGTTTGAATGTGAAGCATTATTTGCAATTAGCGCTACTCAATTCTAAATTTATAAAGAGCTAGGGATGCACGATATATCGGTATTGATATCGGCCGATATTGGTCATTTTTTAGAATATAGGTATCGGTCCGATATGTAAAACGGGGCCGATATTAATGTCCGATATTGATTTCCCGTTTTTTATCTTTGTGTTTCTGTTTTGGGAGGGGAGACGTTTGGTTGAGCTGCATCTGTTTGATCATGATAGTGATATTGACGTGGCGCAGCCAGGAATAACTGAAGTAGGGAGTAGGGTTGGGCGATATTGGCAAAAAAATTAATCACGATTAATTATGGTATTTAGACGATAACGATTAATTTGACGATTAATCTCCTGTAGTCTCTGGACACCCTTATGTCCTGGTCACATGACCAATTTAGTGCAAAAGATTTGCTCTTCATAAAAATCTTCTTCAAAC